CAGAGTCACGGTTGCTACGAATTATTGATTACGGTCCACTAAAGATTCGGCGTACCCTCACTGGTTTGTCGTTGCGGTTTTGCCTTCGCAAGCGTTTTCTTTTCCTCTCTCCGCCTCTTAGTGATCTTTCGCAGCTGCGCGCTAGCCTGTTCCGGACGTTTGTGTGTGCGGGCGTGTCTAGAAAAGCTAGGCGGAATGTTTAATTTCGAGCACATGTCTTTTTGACTAGACTACTTGAGTAGTATACTGAATACACAATGTTGCATACCCTTATCAGCCTAATACCTATGAATTATTGACGGGAGAACAAGAACACGGCATTTCAACCGTGGTTTTTCCTTTGACACCGTAGATGAAATCGGACCATTTTTAGACGTTTCCCATTCCAAAGAAGCAAGATTTGTAAAAAGCAATGGTAGTTTTTTTAGCAGGACATAGGACCACACATTAACATTGGCAAAGGTTCCTCGTCTCTTAACGCAATCCTAAGAACGTCTGTGTGGGACTGCTACAGGCAAAGGGGTGCGGTCCTTTAAGAGACAGTTTACTTTAACGCTTACAGCGTTAAAAAGTGGCTCTTTTACACGAAAAACAAGACCGCAAAGGCTCTATTTTTTTCGTAAATCAGCTTAAACATCTCAGCGGTTTCCTTTTTTTTCCCATTCTTTCTCGACCACCTTCTCTAGTACTGTGTACTCCCTTTTAACACAAAACATTGATAGTGATTTAACCAATTTCCGTCGAGAGGTACGTATACAATGTAGTTGTTGCTTTTATTCTGAAAGCTACCTGATCAGTTTAATGTTGTATCAAGCGTTCCTTCTCTGGGTGTTGTTTTAGTCTTGTCAAAACAAAATAACCGAGGAACAGTGTCTCATAGGGGTGTGGTATGCTTCTTCTTGCCTCTTCCTTTCCTCCAACTGTCCCCCACCCACCCCTCTTCAGGTCTACGTTTTGTCTGCGCATCAAATGAAGAGAGTGCTTTAGCAACGACGACTGGAAGGACAAAAAAATTATTTCCGCAGTTGAAATTTACAGTCATTTCATAAGAAATCCTAGAATAAAAGATATCAAAAAATACAAAATGTCTGAAGAATGATTCTGAAGACTTCTTGTATTCCATATGTAGAAATAAGGAAGATTTGCACTCTTTCTAGGACTTAGTGTTAAGTCACGACTTATAGACATTTCTTTATCTATTTAATTGGTCCAGCTTTTCCAGTTAAATAAATAGGCTTAAGGTGGCTCGATAGGGTTTTTCAGGGTCAATATCTCCCAAGTTTGAACGTAAACTACGTCGCCATTAACAAAGATTTGGGAACATTATTACCACAGCTATATTAGATAAAGACGAAAATTTGTTATGATCAGGGTTACGACGACATCGCAGTTGTCATCATAGCAACGAAATAACGCCAGTACAATTTTACTTGCAGCCGTATTCCTCGGCGTTGGGAACTGTTCTTTCAAAATCGTTTACGGGAGCTTCTTCCTCCAATAACCGCCTCCATGTTCGTGAAGTTTCAGCGAAATCTGTAAGAGCGATATCTAGATCTTTAGGATGAGGTTTTTATGGTTAGAAACGGTAAAAACTGAACAATCTCGATGTTCGGCCATTATTTGTAGAAAACGTAGCACTTTTAAAAAGCATCTTTGCCTCATTGAAGTTTTAATCTCTCTAATCTCTGCACGACCATGACGTGAAGCTGATCTGGCTTCTTTTAGAAGACGTGAACAGGTGACGACCAATTTGTCTTCTCTTTCCGAGCTTGGCTGAAGTGCCCAATAATTCAACTCCAGCGAAATTCCCCTACGTTTGACGTTTAGTTTGACCGAATTGGATTAATTTGAAAAAAAGAAAAAAAAAACCGTTCTCGTTTTCGCGCTGTCGTTGCTAAATCTCCTTAATGAATAATTCATATAAACAAAATAAATTCGCGGCGAGGTACAAGTTTTATTTAAGACTATAAGAATGTGTTCTTAGTCCTATTACATGGCACGTTACACAAAAAACTAACTACATTAAAACAAATAATTCGTTTCACCGTTAACACATGGCTAGAAAAGTTTGATTAAGTTAGACTGCTTTCGGGCACTTGAGCAGCATACTGAAAACACACTGATGCATATCCTATCAATTGTTGATCGGTGAACAAGAAGACGGCATTTCAACCGCGGTTTTTCCTTTGACACCGTATTTGAAATTGGACCATTTGTACACGTTCCCCATTCCAAAGGAGCAAGATTTAGAAAAACCAATGATAGCTTTTTTCGGCAAGACATAGGACCACACATTAACGTTATCCATGGTTGCTCGGAAGCTTTGCGTTTTGGCGAAGCCGCCGCCGACATTATCTTGTTCTTGTCCAAGAACCAGAGATCCCCCAGCCTTGCTGGTGTAGCCCTTCATAAAGTCTGTCTCTTGTTTTACTATCGCTCCATCTTTGAAGAACTGATAGGTGCCATTTTGTTGTCCCAGGTCACGCAGATAGCATGCCAT